TTCTGTGTAGTCCTGGGTCTTAGAATAGCTGTTGTGTCTCCTGTTCCACTTGACATCTGGGCTAATGGGTTATAAGTGGCCCTAACTGAGTGTAGGGGAAGTTAAGGTGAGAAGAACAGCTTTGGAGGATGGAGGCGACAGTTGGCACAGATGGGGATCCCCTTAGCTCAGGAAGCCAGGAGAAAGGTATTTCTCACCAGTCTCCCTCAAGGTAACAACATGAAGCTCTCTGATTTTTTTTTTCTTCTGTTGTTTTCCTGATGTGTTCCTTGTTCTTTTTTCCTTTCTTTCCATCTTTCTTAATTTCTTTCTTCCTCTTCCTTTCTTTTTGTCTTTTTGAGACAGGGTCTTGCTATGTAGTTCAGGCTGGCCTTGAGTTAACTTTGTAGTCAAGGCTGGTCTAGAACTCATAGCGATCCTCCTGTCTCAGGTTCCTGAGTGCTGGGATTACAGGCGTGCACCACAATGCCTGGCTACATTCCTTGTTCCTTTCAGTAGTGCTAGATTTCTATATTTGTAAACCTGACAAAATATATAAATGATGATCATTCTAGAGAGCTTTTGTGTATATGCCCAATTCATACTTTATAATTTAACGTCATAAAATGTCATCATTTTTCTCTTACAGAGTGATTTTATATGTAATCAGCCTCTAATTCAGCAGAACACAATTTGCATGTGGACAGCTCAGGACTTCAGAACAGAGACACTGAATTTTGTAGATAGAGGATCTCTTGGAACATTCCTTATGTTTCTACATTCTTTTTGAGCCTTAAGCAAAATAAGTTATGACTAAAACCTTCTTCAGATACGTTATATATGGTAAACCACATAAGAGAGACATTCACCAGGCCAAGGGTATGGCTAATACTGCTTTGCTTTCCAGTGTTTATATCTAATAATTTAGCTATTGTATGTGTGGTTGTAAATGCAATGATTTAAACTGTTACCTAAGGTAGAAGAGAAAAGCCTGTTATGTTTTAAAATTTTAGTATTATTATTGCTTATAAGAGATTCCATGATTTTAATGAACATTTTCAGATTTAACATTTTCCAGAATTAGTTTAGAAAATTATAATTTTTTTCTGAGTGCCTGGAATTTTCTACCTTATTCTTACATCTTTAGTGAAAGAAGTTTTGAAACTCTATCACATATTTTGTGTATCTTGTTAAAAACCAGATATAAATGGATTTTAAGTATGTGTCCATCAATTTATCTCAGGGATAGGAGTGTAAGCTCAGTGGTAGAGCACTTGCTGAGTGGTGTCTAGGCCCTAGGAACTGATTGATAGGGCCACATGAAGA